ACAACCACACAAACACAACCACACACACACACAACCACACACACACACACACACACACACACACACACACACACACACACACACACACACACACACACACACACACACACACACACACACACACACACACACACACACACACACACACACACACACACACACACCCTGCGCCGCATCCCGTGACCCAAGCCACTCCACAGGGCGGGCAGGGTGTTCCCAAACCTGTCAAAATTGGCCAAACCAACGCTGAACCAACCCTAAACTAACCTCAAGCTTTAGGTAGGGGTCACAGTCACGTTTTTCCCCTCCGGAAGGACTACTTCACCCACAAGGTGCTCATCGGGAAGAAGCTGGTCTTCGACTTCCACCGGCACCCGCAGCCCTTCTGCGGACCCAAGTGTGCCCAGGTGGAGTGGAGCGCTGCTGGGGGGCCAAGCCGGAAAATTGGAGGGGGGGGGCTGAGGGGGGTGAGGGGAGGGGGGGGACTTGTTCCGTGGGAGTTTCTGGTAACATGAAACAAAAGTAATTGCTTGAGACGCAATCCAAAACCTGGTAAAGGGGTCTATGCCATGGTAAAGATGCCCGCACCTTTTTCCGGCTGGCATTGTTCCTCACTACTCTTTGGGTGTGGCTCAGGTGGGTTTGTGTGAAGAACAGAGGCGTGGCGCCCAACCACAGCAGGCAGAGACCTGTACATGGGCTGCATCAAACGTAGTCTGCATCCGACACATCCACCAGCAGCACTGTGCACCGGAAAGCGGGCGCAAGACATCATTGCAGCATTGCAGACACCTGTCACATCATGAAGATTCTTGCGGAAATGAGTGCAGAAGGTGACCAAAGGTGTCGTACTAAGGCGCATGCTCCAGGCCCAGACAAGAAGAGACACTTCAGAGCAAACAGACCGCAATTCCCCACTGGTTTCAAGTCTCCAACGTCGCTTTTCTTTTCATTTCGTGCCTTTGGCTTTCAGAGTTTATCAAGGTTGACAACCCCAAAGCTACAGCCTCGCTGGATGGCCGGACATGTTGCACACTGCAAAGAAACACCCATGCTTCGATGGTTCGAGGGTTCACAGGAAAATATATGTCTTTGCTGTTTCACAGGAATGTGTTTGTTGAAGTAACTGCGGCAGCGCGACTCATGACAATGGACACTGCAGCAGATATGTTCATTCCCACAGCCACATCGTACAGATTGAGGCACGTGCCCCATGGTCATTCCGCGGTAGGTGTCGCTGTGTACTGAGAGCCATGAAATCCGCACAGGCGAGTCGCAATGGGCCACTTAGGCTCAGGTTCATGCGTTACCTGCGAAGGAGACAGAAACGCGCGCGCGAGTTCATGCGCAAGGCCCCCTACGGCAAGCCGGCTCGGCAAAGGCAAAGATCCTCGGCGACAGTCGAGCGTCCACGTTTCCGCTGCTTGTAGTGTGAAGCCGAAGACTGACCCGTGGCAGAGCTGTGTGGCTTCCCTCTTTCTTTGGCTTCCGCAGACATGGCGCTGCCAGCGCCCGGACCATAGCCCGCCGCACAAAATTCAGTTGTAACTTAGGGCAGTGCGCCAAACGGCTACCAATGACCCCAAGGCAGGCCGGCGCTTCAAGTTGACTCAGATTCATGTTTTGCATGTCTGATTGCTGTGAGGCCATCCAGTGGCAGCTTCAACGCCCAACCAGCCTAAATCATGCAGGTGATGCCATAGCATGTCGGCAAGGCATTGACGCGTGCGTGAGAGAGCGTGTGCGTTCGTGCGTGCGTGTGCGTGTGCGTGTACGTGTGCGTGCGCGCGTGCGTCATAGCCCGTGTATTGAAAGGTGGAGAGAGCAGGTCGAAGGAGGGGGCTGCAAGGGGCATTGGTATGCTACCCGTCACTGCGAATCCAAAAGAATAAGGCCGGGAAGTATTCCACCAAGCTCTTCACCGAGGAAGCGATCAGGGTCATCCGAAGCGGCTTGGCCCAAGAGCGCGACTGCGTTACAATCGGGAGGGGAACACCCTGTCGACTTAGTCGCTCAAGCCCAGCGTGGATAATACTGTGGATATGAATACAGTGAGATTCTGGAAAGTTCTCCATTCACTTCTCCATATTTGAAGCAAGTGAAAGGGCCACTCAACTGGTCGTCATGTCTTGGAATACTTCACCTGCTTGCTGGTGCTTAGCACTGAGGACATCGAGCTGAACACCCGGGCGAGCCCCTGTTTCTCTACCAGGTGGGGCATGCAGCGTCACATTTTGCCCACGCTTCCCAAGCTGACGCGGCCCTTGGTGGGCTTCGGGGCACATCTAAGTCAAAATGTCCAGAGGCTATGGGCCATGGGCCGGGAGAATTTCCCTATGAGGCTCATTAAGTTTCTACCAAAGGCTAGGGACAGGCCCCAAATTCCCAATGTCTATTTGGGGGATGAGGGGCACCCTGTTTCCGACTCTGTGTGTTGGGTTGAAACAGTCTTATGTCAATTTTGGAGAGGTCGGCATTCATCAAACTACGCGACAAGTCGATGAAGCGCCTCGCCACGTGAGGTGCTTCTTTTCTCTGCTGTCCCTCAACTTTTGTATTTCTTGACCTTCAAAAGTGGCTGTTTAGGCAGGCTTCCTGACTCTTTTCAGACAAACCAGTGTTTTTCTTCTTTTGCCCAACGAAAACCCATGCGCGCGTCTCTTCTCCGGGCCCGTCAGGCCTGGCAGAATGTTCACGCGCCGATACAGGCGCCGAAACACTTCCTGGACTGGGAAATTCGAAACAGGACCAGGCGCGGAAGAACTCAACGAAGACCGAAGCCATGAGGGATGGGGGGGGTGCCCACACCAGAGACACATCCAAAGGGGTGCCTTTTGTTGAGGGAAGTCCTCCAAAATGGCTTCGGGTGTCCTTTTGGTTTTCCCTGAAAGCCAAGCCCAGAAACGGGAACCCTAAAAAAGGAACAGACCCAATCACCTCACAGGGTAGGACTGGGAAGTGGAAGATCAGGGTCAATGAGTTCCTGTTTTGCAAGCAAAACCACGCTGCCAAGCCACGTATTGGGCATGCCCTATCCCTTTTTGGCTCGTTTTAAAGGGAAACCACACGCAACCCAACCAGCTTGGAGGTCCCCTCAAAAAAGGGAGCAAGCATGTCGGGGTCGGTTTGAAACTTCCGGATTCAAGTGACGTGCTGGGAATCGTAGCAGGGACATGCACGTGGTTGGCACATGTCTACGATTTCAGCAGTTTTCTCATGGCTTGCAGATCTTAGACAGTTTTGGCTTCCATCTTCTATTCTGAGTGTGGTTTGCTGCAGAAAGAATCAGCTGAAGTGCTGACTTATGGGATACCTTACCTTTGTTGAGAGACGAGAAACATATTCACGGAACAGGCACCACGCAGTATCGCAAGTAGCTCGTCACCAGTTTGCCATGAGGATCTTGGACTGGTTCCGTCAGTAGCTTACTTGTTCACTCCGCTTCACACGGAACATCCCGTTGCAGTGGAAGAGCGGTGCTGTTTGACAACGTAAACTGGCTGTGGGTCAAAACCAATGGTACCATTTTGGGGTAGGTGCACCACCCATTTTTAGTCTATTTTAGTGGGAATTGGGATGCTCGCTGGGGGTACGATTTGGATTTTGACCCATGGCCAACTTGTTGGACGTTGTTCTCTAGCTCTCTCCAACGGCCCCTTTGGGCCACCTGACGCCTCACGGCGTGAAGTACAGCCGCGAAATGGTTGGCTCGCTTGGTATTTTCGCCCGGCGGTATCAATTGGAACAAAACACACAGAACACAGCAAAGGAACGGTGGCTGTCCTCTCCCTCTCTCTTTGTCTCAATTGTTGAATCTAGGCTGTGAGGAGAGGGGACAGGAAAGCCAAAGAAGACTCTTTGTTTCTATCCACGTTCCCTCCACAGCTGACCTTGAATCAGGAATTGTCCAACAGACGCAGGACGCGAAAGTGAGGTGGTCCGAGTCGTTTTGACAGCCATCTGGGATTGGACTAAGATATGGCTCCTTTCTGGTGAACATTTGAGTTGTCAAAAGCGGTTATTGGCAAAATATGAGGTTTTGTTGTGTTCAATTCTGGGGAGTAAATCGCAATGAGGGTTGAACCCTCCCAATATTTGAGCCAAGCATCGGTTCGGGCTGAAGAGGCGCCGGCACGCCGCTATGGTCAAGTCCGTGGACGAAGCCATCGGCCGCATCAACGTGGCACGGCTGCAGGGCGAAGAGCGAGCTTTCGGTCGCGAAGGCCCAAGTTTTAAAAGGCTTCCCTGGATCCAGGGTGAAACCCAAAAATAGGTGAGGGGTAAATGGCTTGGCCAACGTTTTGGGTTGCCACTTTTGTTGGCCCTTGGGGAATTTCACGGAAAGAGTGATAAAGTACTGGCTGGTATCACAGAAAGAGGATTTTCTACCACCGTGGCACCGAGTGACCCCTCCTGGTTTCTGCTTCTTTGGGGGAGTGCCTGTGTTGCCCTCAACGGGGGTCGACAGGCGATGTGGGACCAGGTGGGTGTGGGTCAAAATGAAACCACTAGGGGACCGCAGGTTTTAGTCCATGTTTCCATTTGCCAGGGTTCCATTTTGGGTACCATTTTTTGACCCATAGCCAGGTGGTGTTTTTGAGAGGTGCCTGGCGCGCGGTGATTTCTGGACTCTCAGGCAGCATTGGAGTACGAGGGCATGCTGGACAATACACTGGTCATTGCGGCCCAGCGAATCCGTGGGGTTGGCCTCCATTTTTTTGGGGGGCGAGTTCTCGTGGGCGGTGTCCTCAGAATGGCCCGGACTCTTGTCTGGATGCCTTTCAAATGGGTCTATCTCAACGTGACTGAGACTGTATACTTTCAAGCGGTGCGACGTGTAGCTAGTCAGCCATCGACACCAAAACGGAGCCTTGTAACAGGAACACTCCCCTGCCTTGTGTCCGATTTGCTGTGCTAAGCTTTGGGCACCTGGTGGGCCAGCATGTTTGGCAGTTTCACACAAAAGGGGAGCGGACGAAGGAGAATGCCCGACGCGCTGGTTCTTCAGGTCAACGACAATATTGTTACGAGAAGGACCCACGAAAACCAGGGTCCGCGCCCCAAGTCAACAGTCTCCTTTCAGGTCACCACAGACAATGGGGGCGCTGTGCATGAGTGCAAGCCCAACGGGGCGTCCAACCACCCGCTGAGGCCGGTTGGGCATGAATTTGGGGCGATCGCCCGACGTGAGCCTTTAGCGGAAGGAAGCTGACCCCCATGCAGCCTACACGCTCTTGTGGGTGCCAGTGTGTTCTTGAAGATCCTCTTTCATTCTTCTTTCCAAAGTCCGTAAAGTTTGATTGAGGATATCTTGAGCGTTCCAAGTGGCGGGATACGGGTGGTTCAACTGAAGTTAATTCGACCGCCCCCCCAAATTCCTCCCAGGAATGCTTCTTTACCGGGCTGCCCTTTGCTTGGACTCTTAGCCTTTTCTGTAAGTGCTTGGGGACAATGATAGTTTCTCCACTAGCCAGCAACCCAGATTCCTCGCATCGCTCAGCGACACTCACTGGAGCCCACCAGAATTGCTCAACAATCTGCCCAGGCCTCCAATGGAAGGAAGCGCGCAGATGCAAATCGCTGGGGTTTACACATGCAGCAAGTGGTAAGCCCAACCCCGCTCAGCCTTTGTGCCAATGTGGGATATGCCTTCTTTGTTTGTCCCAGGCTTAACTGCCAAAGAACTTCCAAAAGCCGGCTGCCTACCCCGCCTGGCGCAGGGGCGGCAAGTGCAGCATCTGGGAGGGCGGCACCCGGGGTACCGCGCTGATCAAGGGCCCACAGGTGCCCAGAGGCAGGGGAGGGCGAGTGCACCATTTCAGAGGAAAAACTGGCTGGTGCGCTAGGCAGGGAATGAGTTTGAATGACCCCCCCCAAAAAAATCCCATCTGGTTTCCTTGAAGGGAATCCCTATGTTCATTCCCTTCCCTAGCACCATCAAGAAAACCATGCTTGTTGAGGGGCACGTGTTGAAAGATAGTGAGGCCCAAGGCGGGTTCATCCTGGGCAGTTTGGAGAGCTGCCAGTGTTTGGGAAACACTTGCATTGAATAGCTTGCTTTTGCGCACGCAAAATCCAATCGTCATCGATGGCGATGCTGAGCCGTTCAAAATTTGGCTGTGCCTTTTGACCGGCTTGGGGATCCTTGGTCTTGCCTGAGTTGATGGTTTCCAAAGGGAACTTGGGGAAACTCGCAACCCAAGCGCGGAATCGAATTTCTGCCACCCGAAGCGCTGGCCATGGCAACCCAGTTCCTCCAAAAAAGATGGGGAGGGGGGTGGACCTGCCATAATAAGTAGGCCATGGCATGAAAGGGGTGACCAATACACGACAAAAATAAAAGCAACGAGCATCCAGGAAAAACACTTGCCATCTTCGGTTAGGCCATGGCATGTGGCGTAGGCCTGGTGTGGCGGGGCCTCTTCCATGCCAGCGACTGGCTGCCCACCTTGCTGGAGGGAGTGCTGGGCACCGTCATCGCTCCGGAGGCGATGGAGCACCTCGTGGGCCCTGAGGTTTTCCTTTCTTCGGCCGCGTTTGGTTGCTGGAATCCGACATGTTTTTTGCCCGTATTAGGAGACATTCGAATCGGTCTCTATGCCTATGTGCTTACCTCTCTTTGGGGTCAAGAAGTCGAAGGTGACTAGGTCCTGCCATTTCTTGAGTTTTGTCTTGAACGCTCCACACTTTGTTTCAAAGTGTCTTCTCATCTTTGCACTGACGCACACCTGGCCATAGGGAGGCTCGTATCTATGGGTGACAATATGCTCCAACGTGTCTGCCTCATGCTTGACTCCTCTACCAGCTCCCAAAACCCTCCTGTCAGCCTTCATAGTGTTGGTGGGAGGGTAGCCTGTGAAATGAGCCAAGGTCAATACTCATTGTTCCCCAATGATATGACTTTTCGGTGGGTCAGTTCTGTTTGCGCTCTGTATTTTGGCGAGTGGTACCCAAATTTCATTGCCTTTCCTACAGTAAAGGACGGTGAATCTTGATTTGCTCAAATGAGGGTTTGATGGGCATGTATCCAGAGAGGCTTTCAAATGTCAAAGTGTTCCCAACGTTTGCGAGTGTAGCTCGGATATCCTTCATCTTCTTCTCGCCCGTATACTCCTCTCCTGCAACATGGTAGCCATGACAGGCTGACATCACCAGTATATCCGAGACAGACTTGCACTGCGAAGCTGCTTGTTTGTTTTTGGTGTGCTCACTCGTCTTGCTAGATCGGACACGGCGATTCATTGGTTGATTCCCCTGTTGTGTGGTTTGCATGTTTCCTGGAACAGCCCCACAATAGCTGCTTTTCAGGTTGGGTCGTCTCAAAATGCAGAGCTCAGAAAATTGGATGGGGTTCACCTTTCGACTCTGCTTGCAACCAGTACCAGCTCCGAAAAAGGCTCCGCCCATTCAACCAGCACTGCTCACCCAAGACGGGGGAAGCACTCCGCCCCACCGGCCAAATATCTGTGGGTTTCCTTACGAGTCTCCGAAAGGGACTCCAAAAAGGCTAGCCCTTCCCCTACGCCCAGGGTTGGGCAAAATGTGCTTGAAGAGCCAGATCCGATCGGTTCCCTGCAAAGGGAAGCCAGACCATAGTGGTCTAGTCCCATGTTTCAACAAGGTTGAATCGAATCCTGAAAAACACACCCAAAATGAGCCACAATCAAAACCTGGGTAGATGAAGGTAAGTACGGGACAGTTCGGGTGCGGCCGCCTGTCTGTTTTCTTACCTGGATTTCGTTGTAATGCCGAGTTTTGCTGGGCATAATGGATGTGTTTAGCTTGGCCACTCTTTGGCCCCATTTGGCGGCTAGGCCACCAAGCCTTTGGATGGCTTCAACCTCTGGCACGCGCTGCGGACCAATGCCACCTCCCCCCGGGAGGACATCTACTATGGGGTGGCGGCCCCTCGGGCAAACGTCAGGGTCGAGTTCGGGGTTGGGCAGGGTATGGTTACACACTTGTACAATTGTATGTAGCAGGGTAATACGCTTTTTCGGCAGCAGGGTGTGTGTGTGTGTGTGTGGTGTGTGTGTGTGTGTGTGTGTGTGTGTGTGTGTGTGTGTGTGTGTGTGTGTGTGTGTGTGTGTGTGTGTGTGTGTGTGTGTGTGTGTGTGTGTGTGTGTGTGTGTGTGTGTGTGTGTGTGTGTGTGTTGTGTGTGTGTGTGTGTGTGTGTGTGTGTGTGTGTGTGTGTGTGTGTGTGTGTGTGTGTGTGTGTGTGTGTGTGTGTGTGTGTGTGTGTGTGTGTGTGTGTGTGTGTGTGTGTGTGTGTGTGAGTGTGTGTGTGTGTGTGTGTGTGTGTGTGTGTGTGTGTGTGTGTGTGTGTGTGTGTGTGTGTGTGTGTGTTGTGTGTGTTTGTGTGTTGTGTGTGTGTGTGTGTGTGTGTGTTGTGTGTGTGTGTGTGTGTGTGTGTGTGTGTGTGTGTGTGTGTGTGTGTGTGTGTGTGTGTGTGTGTGTGTGTGTGTGTGTGTGTGTGTGTTGTGTGTGTGTTGTGTGTGTTGTGTGTTTGTGTGTTTGTGTGTTTGTGTGTTTGTGTGTTTGTGTGTTTGTGTGTTTGTGTGTTTGTGTGTTTGTGTGTTTGTGTGTTTGTGTGTTTGTGTGTTTGTGTGTTGTTGTGTTTGTGTGTTTGTGTGTTAGTGTGTGTTTGTGTGTTTGTGTGTTTGTGTGTGTGTGTGTGTGTGTGTGTGTGTGTGTGTGTGTGTGTGTTTGTGTGTGTGTGTGTGTGTGTGTGTGTGTGTGTGTGTGTGTGTGTGTGTGTGTGTGTGTGTGTGTGTGTGTGTGTGTGTGTGTGCCCCCCTGTTCCTAAGGGGTTTCCGCGGTTTCTCTTTCTCTGTCTCTCTTTTTGGGGTCGGATGCCACCGCAATGGACCTCTGCTCGTGGAGTACTTGGTGTGGCAGATGGCATCCCTGATGAGGGCCACACGAAGGAAAGACGTAGCATGTACGTTGTGCCGAAACTCCACTTTCCGCTTTTCACCTTTCAGTTGCTTGGGGGTGCACCTTGGCAGTTTCGCCGTCTCATATCAAGTGTGTTTAGGCACTGCGTCCGGGCTTCGGTCAGTGTCTTGATCCCCTTTGTGGGCATCTGTTTCGACTCATGCAATGACAATTTCTACAGACTGTTACCGGACCTTGTCGCTCGTGACGCTTGACTGTTCCAGCTGACCTTCTCAATACAGGCTTGGACTTGTCCCAGACGTTTCGGCACCCCAGACTGTTTCCGTGGACCTCTTCAAGTCAGACAAACTGTTTGACTAACCACCAGACCACCCGACACATCAGGCAAGAACCCATGACGCCGTCAGCTTGCTCTTGGCTCGCAATTGTCAGAAGCAGATGCCACGACCCAACGCAGGTCCGATGTCGAACTCAGCAGGCCCTATGTCCAAGGCCGCCAAGAACACAGCGGGTCCTACGCCACCTAGATCACCAGTGAGCCAGACAGCATCACCGAGCAGGAGTACACTTGTGGCACCGACCTCCAGCATTACTGGCACATTGTCCGGTACCGCGAGGGCCACAAAACCTTCGGCTCCTCTCCCAGTGTCGCAGCGGTACCTATCTATGCTTCTCCTACCTGGCCCGGATCCGCTGCTGGCCCACTGCCGCAAATCCTGGTGAAGGCGCGCCCAGCAACCCCAATGACTCCAATGACTCCAATGACTCCAACTACCCCAACGGCTCCAGCTACAGCATGTCCGTCTCCGGCTACCGCACCGACCTCTACGGCAACCCCGCGTACCGGAAGAAGACCACCTCCATCCCAGTTGGAAAAGTCTTTCTCAAACGGAAGAAGCAATGGAAGTCGGGCCGCACCATTATAGCATATCACAAGGTGGTGCACCGGCTGCTCTTCAAGGCAGTCGCCATCCTTCTCGGCGAGATTGCCGCAGAAACATGGAAATGCTCATGGGGGATACACCCCGCACCACGCATATGGCAGAACATCAAGCAATACTTTGACAACACAGACGACACAGTCACCCTTGCCTTCCACAATGACGACTTGGTCGGATTCTTCAACAGTGTCCCTCAGGACCAAGTGTGTGCAGCGGTTGCGCAACTACTTGCCGAGCACCAGCGAGGACGACCCAGTCTCGTGTACTCAGTGGAAACACAGGCAACTGCCCACTACAATCGAGTGTTTGCGGGCAAGCAATCCTACGGACGCACACCGACCACGCGCATCATCCACATGGAGGACATCCTAGCCATCGTCAAGTCCAGCTTCCAACGCATGTATGTTCAAGTAGGGACCCTCATCATGCGCCAAGTCCATGGTACAGCAATTGGCTCTCAGCTGAGCCCAGTACTCAGCCACATATGCGTCGCAAGGCACGAAGTCATCTGGCAGCGTATCTATGGACAATGGTTCACCAGTCACAACGTCTTCTTGGAGAGATATGTGGACAATAGATTTGTCATCTTCCCTTCTCCAGCATCAGGTCACCCGGCAGCCCCATTGGCGGCGCTGCTCCAGGCTGACTTTTACGGTGCTCCCATCGTGCTGGAACAAGTGGGGTCTTCAGAGTTCCTCGGCTTCGTCATCGATGTGGGCGACCGGGCGATTTACTACAAAACCCCTAGCAAAATCTGGCAGATAAGAGGACCACGTACTGCTGGAAGCCTCTCCACCCTTCTCTCCGGAGCTAGGTCACGGTCAGCCCTTGCCACCAAGTACGCGCATCCGGTCAGAGCAGTACAGATGGCACTGGATCAGCTTCGCAGTATTTATTTGTCCGCCGGCTACAAGTCAGCCGACCTGCAACACCTGTTTCATCCACCGGCGACTCCAACACGAAAGAACTCCCAAGCGCCGGTTTTAGCTTTTTAGCTTTTTGGCTTTGCGGCTCTCTTTTTGTCCCTCTTTTTTTGCTCTTTTCGGCTTTTTGGCTCTTTTTGGCTTTTGCACTCTTGTGTCCTTGGGTTTCTGTTTCTTGATGTCCGTTTCGACCATGGTGCTCATACACTGGTTCAAACAGTGCTGCCCTTCCTGCTGATCTTAGAGAGCTGTCGCCATGCTCGGCCGCATGATAGCGCTTCATCACCGCATGACTCAGAACGCTGCTGACATGATGCAGCTCATCCAGGAGACCTTGAACCAAGCTGACGAGGCACACAGCCGCCGGCACCATGACGGGCAAGGTCGCCTGCAACAATATGCCCACGATCGGTCGCTGGCCGAGTCATCGCGGCCACACGCACTTGCTCCTGCTGGAGTCGATGAGGTCAACCCACCTGGCCCGCTGATGCTGAACCCAGTCAACCCGGCAACTCCGACCGACCCTCCACCACATGTCGGATTCCAGTCACTTCAGTCACACACAGGGCGGAAGGTGGTGGTCAACCCCAAGTCGTTGTCCTATTGCATCATCGCGGGGGACACCAACGACTCTATAGATCCGCGCTCGAAGAGCCCCATGGTGCACGATTACGTTGGTCAGCCGGGCATCAAGAAGGCGACTGATCGACGCAGAACAAAACGGAAGCGATGCCGCGCTACATCCTCCGAGAAGACGGACTCGCCGGAACCTCCAGCACGTCCAGCACCTCGCACTCCAGCTCCAGCTCCGGTCTCTCCTTGCGGTGGCCTGTTTTCCTCTGCTCATGCTCACTCCGATGCCGGCAACCCAGGAACTCCCCCAGAAGTACCTCGTGCCTGGACAGAAGGAGATGACCAGCAGCTTTGCAGCCTGAAAGCGGACAACCGGTCAAGTACTCGTACAAGTCGCTAGCCAAGAAGCTCAACCGGTCCATCGCGGATGTCACGCAGCGCTGGAAGAGCCTGGAACGCCTCAGGAAAGCTCGGGAACAGAATCAGAAGACTACCTGAACGCAGCCAACGCAGCCTGCCAAGTCGTCTCCGGTGATACAGGTGCAGTTCTACTACGGATTTGGGGCATCGACTTTTTGAACTCCAGATGCATCGAGAATCATGATGGAGGCGGCTTTTCGGGTTTTGGGTTTTTTGTTTTCGGTTTCTGTGTTCTCCCCCTGCGGGGGGTGCGTGTGTGGCCCCCCTGTTCCTAAGGGGTTTCCGCGGTGTCTCTCTCTCTCTCTCTCTCTCTCTCTCTCTCTCTCTCTCTCTCTCTCTCTCTCTCTCTCTCTCTCTCTCTCTCTCTCTCTCTCTCTCTCTCTCTCTCTCTCTCTCTCTCTCTCTTCTCTCTCTCTCTTTCCTCTGCCACTGTCTGCTCGTGGAGTACCTGGTGTGGCAGATGGCATCCCTGATGAGGGCCACACGAAGGAAAGACGCAGCATGTACGTTGTGCCGAAACTCCACTTTCCGCTTTTCACCTTTCAGTTGCTTGGGGGTGCACCTTGGCAGTTTCGCCGTCTCATACCAAGTGTGTGTGTGTGTGTGTGTGTGTGTGTGTGTGTGTGTGTGTGTGTGTGTGTGTGTGTGTGTGTGTGTGTGTGTGTGTGTGTGTGTGTGTGTGTGTGTGTGTGTGTGTGTGTGTGTGTGTGTGTGTGTGTGTGTGTGTGTGTGTGTGTGTGTGTGTGTGTGTGTGTGTGTGTGTGTGTGTGTGTGCGTGTGTGTGCGTGTGTGTGTGTGTGTGTGTGTGTGTGTGTGTGTGTGTGTGTGTGTGTGTGTGTGTGTGTGTGTGTGTGTGTGTGTGTGTGTGTGTGTGTGTGTGTGTGTGTGTGTGTGTGTGTGTGTGTGTGTGTGTGTGTGTGTGTGTGTGTGTGTGTGTGTGTGTGTGTGTGTGTTTGGGTTTGTGTTTGTGTTTGTGTTTGTGTTTGTTTGTTCTTTTAGACGTGAGTGAAGATCACCTTTCGACAAGGCTTAACTAAGATAAGTTTCCTTAGATGTTCCCGTTTGGACGACACTTTGACAGGATAGCATGTCCTTTTGGTTTCCATTTCAGCGACGTAAGAAAGTGGACCCCCGCCCACATTCTGAGACATACCTGGACACATTGGGCTGGTTGGATTGCTGCGACTGACAGTCGCTTAGGCTTGGGCCAATTCTGTTTATCTTGCATACCCATCATCCGGTTGTCGCTTGGGTCGCGGGTGGGGTCACATTGACAGGATTTCTTTTGGTATAGCAGGACAGTCTTAAGGCATTTCGCTTCACGACAGGCATAGGACAAAACCAACGGAACCAAGAAGTCTGGGCAAGGGAATCAAGTAAATCAAGGGAAGTCTTGGGAGCCAATAAGCGCGGAAGCGGACTGGAGGCAGAAAGCGGTCCGACTCTGAGCCCTCGAAATTGAAGGATCGCCTGAGGATGAAGTGGTTGGTCAGCACGGCCCTGCCCTCCGCACGGCCGAAGGGTGGTGCCTTGGCGCTGGTTTGTTCGCCGAGTTTGTGCTGGTTTCTTTGGTTGAAAGAAACCAAGACACACCGGCCAGTTTAGGGCACCCCAATTCTAATCGATCACTCATGTTTGCCAAGGTTTTAAGCCCTCACAGAAAGCAATGTCTAGTGCCTTGGACATATGGCTGCCAAGGATGCTGCAAACAGGGCTCCCATTTCTGGAAGCTGCGGAACCATAGGCGCGCGTTTTGTGATCAACCCTTGAGTCCACAGGTCTCCTATGCTGGGTTCAATAGTTGTTACTAGACGCGGACGGTCAGCGTCAGAATTTCAAGTTGTAGGCAACCAGAATGATTCCCACTGGGACGAAGGGCTTTGATTGCGACAACATGCACTCCTTGCCGCTCGGCTGAGTGGGGCTCACTGTGCCCTTCCGGCCAAGTTCAGGGCCCCCGTTCCCAAGTGCCAGACTCTCACGCGAAAGGCACAAGAGTAATCTGAGGCCCGGGCTAAGGCGAGGCTCTAGCCAACTTTAAGCCATGACCAAACCACATGACTCGCGTTCGGAAAGGCAAGGGGGTCGAATGGCCAGACTTTGCTTTGGCGTCAACGGGAACCTCAGCACGGGGTTTTGTGACTACAGTTTGCATAGCTACAGCTCGGGTGGAACGTACTGATTTGCTCGTATTTCTCAATGCGTGTTATATATATATGATATATATATATATACACATATTATATAATCGGATCGTTTCCCTGAGGAAGCTTGTGCTGAACGGTGGCGGTGGCGTTGGCGACTGGCCTGAGGTGCCAGCCAGGCTGGGTTGCTTCTTTTGGCCAAGGGATCGCCTCGCGGAGTCTCCCAAGATGTCCAAGGAGAGACACAGGTGGTGTATACAACGAGGGTGCCAGAGGCAGGTTGAAAGCTTGTAATTTTAACGCTTCCGGCTCAGGCCGCCGACATTACAGGCCTGCTTTCTTATTTGCGTCCCTTTGGAATTGTCCCCTTGCCCCCTTCCCCTCCCTCTGAGATTTTTGCCCCCCTTTCTTTGTTGAGATCCATTCCCCCTTTCCGCCCTAAGGCCTTTTCTCCCTCTGATTTTTCCCTTTTCCTCCCTAAGATGTTTTCCCCCCTCTCCCTGTTGAGATCCTTTCCCCCCTTTCCCCCCTAAGGCCTTTTCCCCCCTGAGATCTTCTCCCTTTTCCTCCCTTTCCCCCACTTGCCCCCCTACGGCCTTTTCCTCCCTGGGATCTTTTTCCTTTCCTCCCTGAGATCTTACCCCCCCTTTCCCTGTTGAGATCCTTTCCCCCCTTTCCCCCCTACGGCCTTTCCCCCCGCTGAGATCTTCTCCATATTCCTCCTTAAGATCCTTTTCCTTCCTAAGATTGTTTCCCCCCTTTCCCTGTTGAGATCCTTCCCACCCTTTCCCCCCTCAGGCCTTTCCCCCCCTGAGAGCTTCTCCCTTTTCCTTCCTTAGATCTTTCCCCCCTTTCCCTGTTGGCCTGTTTTCCCCCAGATCTTGTCCCTTTCCTCCCTAAGATCTTTTCCACCCCTTGCCCTGTTGAGATCATTTCTCCCCTTTCCCCCCTACGGCCTTTGCCCCCAGATCTTCTCCCTTTCCTCCCTAAGATCTTTCCCCCCCTTTCCCTGCTCAGATCCTTTCCCCCCTTTCCCCCCTAAGGCCTTTCCCCCCCTGAGATCTTCTCCCTTTTCCTCCCTAAGATCTTTTGCCACCTTTCCCTGTTGAGATCCATTCCCCCTTTCCCCCCTAAGGCCCTTTCTCCCTCTGAGTTTTTCCCTTTTCCTCCCTACGATGTTTTCCCCCCTCTCCCTGTTGAGATCCTTTCCCTCCTTTCCCCCCTAAGGCCTTTTTTCCCCCCGCGATCTTCCCCCTTTTCCTTCCTAAGATCTTTTCCCCCCTTTCCTTGTTGAGATCCTTTCCCGCCCTTTCCCCCCTAAGGCGTTTTCCCCCCCAAGATCTTCTCCCTTTTCCTCCCTAAGATCCTTTGCCCCCTTTCCCTGTTGAGGTCCTTTCCCCTCTTTCCCCCCTAAGGCCTTTCCCCCCCTGAGATCTTCTCCCTTGTCCTCCCCAAGATCTTTTCCCTTGGTTGAGATCCTTTCCCCCTTTCCCCCCAAGATCTTCTCCCTTTTCCTCCCTAGGATCCTCTCCCACCTTTCCCTGTTGAGCTCCTTTCCCCCTTTTCCCCCTAAGGCCTTTTCAGATCTTCTCCCTTTTCCTCCCGAAGATCCTTTGCCCCCTTTCCCTGTTGAGATCCTTTCCCCCTTTCCCCCCTAAGGCCTTTTCCCTGCCTGGGATCTTCTCCCTTTCCTCACTGAGATCTTTCCCCCCCTTTCCTTGTTGAGATCCTTTCCCGCCCTTTCCCCCCTAAGGCGTTTTCCCCCCCAAGATCTTCTCCCTTTTCCTCCCTAAGATCCTTTGCCCCCTTTCCCTGTTGAGGTCCTTTCCCCTCTTTCCCCCTAAGGCCTTTCCCCCCTGAGATCTTCTCCCTTGTCCTCCCCAAGATCTTTTCCCTTGGTTGAGATCCTTTCCCCCTTTCCCCCCAAGATCTTCTCCCTTTTCCTCCCTAGGATCCTCTCCCACCTTTCCCTGTTGAGCTCCTTTCCCCCTTTTCCCCCTAAGGCCTTTTCAGATCTTCTCCCTTTTCCTCCCGAAGATCCTTTGCCCCCTTTCCCTGTTGAGATCCTTTCCCCCTTTCCCCCCTAAGGCCTTTTCCCTGCCTGGGATCTTCTCCCTTTCCTCACTGAGATCTTTCCCCCCCTTTCCCTGTTGAGATCCTTTCCCTCCTTGCCTTCCTAAGGCCTTTCCCCCCGCTGAGATCTTCTCCCTATTCCTCCTTAAGATCCTTTGCCTCCTTTCGCCGTTGAGATCCTTTCCCCCTTCCCTTTAAGGGCTTTCCAGATCTTTTCCCTTTTCCTTCCTAAGATTGTTTCCCCCCTTTCCCTGTTGAGATCCTTCCCACCCTTTCCCGCCTAAGGCCTTTCCCCCCTGAGAGCTTCTCCCTTTTCCTTCCTTAGATCTTTCCCCCCTTTCCCTGTTGGCCTTTTTTCCCCCAGATCTTCTCCCTTTCCTCCCTAAGATCTTTTCCACCCCTTCCCTGTTGAGATCATTTCTCCCCTTTCCCCTCTAAGGCCTTTGTCCCCAGATCTTCTCCCTTTCCTCCCTAAGATCTTTCCCCCCCCCCTTTCCCTGCTGAGATCCTTTTCCCCCTTTCCCCCCTAAGGCCTTTCCCCCCCCTGAGAGCTTCTCCCTTTTCCTTCCGAAGATCTTTTCCCCCCTTTCCCTGTTAGGCTTTCCCCCCTAAGTCCTTTTCTCCCAGATCGTCTCCCTTTCCTCCCTAAGATCTTCCCCCCCCTTTCCTCCTTAAGATCTTTCCCACCCTTTCCCTGTTGACATCCTTTCCCCCCTTTCCCTCCCAAGGCCTTTCCCCCCCTGAGAGCTTCTCCCTTTTCCTTCCTAAGATCTTTTCCACCCTTTCCCTGTTGGGCTTTCCCCCCTAAGTCCTTTTCTCCCAGATCTTCTCCCTTTCCTCCCTAAGATCTTCCCCCCCCCCTTTCCTTCCTAAGATTGTTTCCCCCCTTTCCCTGTTGAGTTCCTTCTCACCCTTTCCCCCTGAGGCCTTTCCCCCCCTGAGAGCTTCTCCTTCCTTAGATCTTTCCCCCCTGTCCCTGTTGGCATTTTTTCCCCCAGATCTTCTCCCTTTCCTCCCTAAGATCTTTTCCACCCCTTTCCCTGTTGAGATCATTTCTCCCCTTTCCCCCCTAAGGCCTTTGCCCCCAGATCTTCTCCCTTTCCTCCCTGAGATGTTTCCCCCCCTTTCCCTGCTCAGATCCTTTCCCCCCTTTCCCCCCTAAGGCCTTTCCCCCCCTGAGATCTTCTCCCTTTTCCTCCCTAAGATCTTTTGCCATTTTTCCCTGTTGAGATCCATTCCCCCTTTCCCCCCTAAGGCCCTTTCTCCCTCTGAGTTTTTCACTTTTTCTCCCTACGATGTTTTCCCCCCTCTCCCTGTTGAGATCCTTTCCCTCCTTTCCCCCTAAGGCCTTTTTTCCCCAGATCTTCTCCCTTTCCTCCCTAAGATCCTTTGCCCCCTGTCCCTGTTGAGATCCTTTCCCCCCTAAGGCCTTTCCCCCCCTGAGATCTTCTCCCTTGTCCTCCCCAAGATCTTTTCCCTTGGTTGAGATCCTTTCCCCCTTTCCCCCCGAGATCTTCTCCCTTTTCCTCCCTAGGATCTTCTCCCACCTTTCCCTGTTGAGCTCCTTTCCCCCTTTTCCCCCTAAGGCCTTTTCAGATCTTCTCCCTTTTCCTCCCTAAGATCCTTTGCCCCCTTTCCCTGTTGAGATCCTTTCCCCCTTTCCCCCCTAAGGCCTTTTCCCTGCCTGGGACCTTCTCCCTTTCCTCACTGAGATCTTTCCCCCCCTTTCCCTGTTGAGATCCTTTCCCCCCTTTCCCCCCTACGGCCTTTCCCCCCGCTGAGATCTTCTTCCTATTCCTCCTTAAGATCCTTTGCCCCCTTTCCCTGTTGAGATCCTTTCCCCCCTTCCCTTTAAGGCCTTTCCAGATCTTCTCCCTTTTCCTTCCTAAGATTGTTTCCCCCCTTTCCCTGTTGAGATCCTTCCCACCCTTTCCCCCCTCAGGCCTTTCCCCCCCCTGAGAGCTTCTCCCTTTTCCTTCCTTAGATCTTTCCCCCCTTTCCCTGTTGGCCTTTTTTCCCCCAGATCTTCTCCCTTTCCTCCCTAAGATCTTTTCCACCCCTTTCCCTGTTGAGATCATTTCTCCCCTTTCCCCCCTAAGGCCTTTGTCCCCAGATCTTCTCCCTTTCCTCCCTAAGATCTTCCCCCCCCCCCTTTCCCTGCTGAGATCCTTTTCCCCCTTTCCCCCCTAAGGCCTTTCCCCCCCCTGAGAGCTTCTCCCTTTTCCTTCCTAAATCTTTTCCCCCCTTTCCCTGTTGGGCTTTCCCCCCTAAGTCCTTTTCTCCCAGATCTTCTCCCTTTCCTCCCTAAGATCTTCCCCCCCCTTTCCTCCTTAAGATCTTTCCCACCCTTTCCCTGTTGAGATCCTTTCCCCCCTTTCCCTCCCAAGGCCTTTCTCCCCCCTGAGAGCTTCTCCCTTTTCCTTCCTAAATCTTTTCCCCCCTTTCCCTGTTAGGCTTTCCCCCCTAAGTCCTTTTCTCCCAGATCTTCTCCCTTTCCTCCCTAAGATCTTCCCCCCCCCCTTTCCTCCCTAAGATCTTTCCCACCCTTTCCCTGTTCAGATCCTTTCCCCCTCTTCCCTATCAAGGCCTTTCCCCCCCTGAGAGCTTCTCCCTTTTCCTTCCTAAGATCTTTTCCCCCCTTTCCCTGTTGGCCTTTTTTCCCCAGATCTTCTCCCTTTCCTCCCTAAGATCTTTTCCACCCCTTTCTCTGTTGAGATCATTTCTCCCCTTTCCCCCCTAAGGCCTTTTCCCACCCTCAGTTCTTCTCCCTTTTCCTCCCAAAGATCTTTCCCCCCCTTTCCTCCCTAAGTCCTTTTCCCTGAGTTCGTCTCCCTTTGCCTCCCTAAGATCTTTTCCCCCCTTTCCCGCTTAAGATCCTTTCCCCCGTTTCCCCCCTAAGGCCTTTTCCCCCCAAGATCTCCACCCTTCTCTTCCCAAAGTCTTTTTCCCCCTTTCCCGTTTGAGATCCTGTCCCCCCATTGCCCCTTAGGGCCTGTTCCCCCCGAGAAAGATTTCCCTTTTCCTCCCAAAGATCTTTTCCCCCTTTCCCCCTTAAGGCATTTTTTCCCCAGATCTTCTCCCTTTCCTCCCTGAGATCTTTCCCCCCCTTTCGCTGTTGAGATCCTTTCCCCCTTTCCCCCCTTCATTTCCTTCACCAGCATGGGCAACATCCCCAGCATCACTTGCATCATCCGCATCCTTGGCAGGCGCTGATGCGGATGATGCAGGTGATGCTGGCGATGTGCCGCTGGAGCTGCTAAGGATGCGAAAGCGCACCCGGGGGGAATCGAACACCCCAATGTTTTTGACAAACTGAGTTGCGCAAGCCCGCGCAATGAACAGATTTAGTGAAGCCCCCCCCAATAGTCTGAAATGGTGCCCTTGGGGAGGGGTTAGGGGAGGGGTAACAGGTAAAGAGGTAAGGAGCATTTTTTGTGTCCAACACGCCGTCTGTTGTCGGCGGATATGGGTTGCAGCAATGGGAAGGGGGCAATGCTTCTGCTTCGGCCACCTTTTGAACCTTTTTCAAACATGGCGCAACGTTTTCCTTTCGGTTGCCTCCCTCTAAAAAGGCAGCAGGTTCCCCAGTGACAAAACTCGAAAAGGCATGAGCTTTATAGCGAAAAGGGATGGCACTACGGGAGCACGGCAACAGTGGTGTGAAAATTTTGGATTTCCTGCGTGACCGGACAAATTTGTTCGCACAGACAAACCAGGGCGACCATCCGATTTTCCTGTGCTTTGTCTGTTGCTCATGTTCCCCGCTGAAGCTTTCATCAAGCATGCAACAGCCTTTGCCGCTTTGCCGCTGAAATCTTTCAAGACTTCGACCCGGCGCACTGGATTGATAGCCTGGAAGGATCTGATATGGCTATGGAGTGCACCACCCATTTTAGTCCATTTTAGTGGGGATTGGGATGTTCACTGGGGGTAACCCATGGCCATATGGAACATGGTTTGCCAGGCAGTTGCAGAGATGTCACATTCCCCCACGCGAGTTGCCCAAAGTCAGGCGACTGGGCTTGGGCAAGCAGCCTGGCAAGCCTGCGGTCTGGGGGCTCCTGTCGTTTGGGACGTTTGGCCGGATGTAGGTGGATTCCATTTGATTTTGGTTCCAATCGGACATTTATCAGCGCCATTTGTAGTATCTGTTCAGGAGTTTGGGAGGTTGGAGGCCTTTGAGTGCCGAGAGCTCATTTGCCAGCCGGTTTGGACTGATCTGGTCGTGCACCCCGATGTATCGGCAGCCAAACCTCCGGTTTCTGGTTGTGGCTGATTTCAGTTCAGGCCCGAGGCGAGTTACTTTTCCGGAGGTCAGTGAGTTTTCAAGCTGAAAGCAGCGCTGTGAGCGATGCACGTGTGTATGCATCAATCACTACAAACGCAAGCAAATTCAAAGCGCGTATGCACCCCAAATTTAACCTAGAACAGCAACAGATACGAGGACCTCTTCGCGACAGGAAAGCAACATTTCCAAATTCCTTGAGCAACTAAACAACTCGAGCAGGAACAAGATGCAAGCATGATGTGGCCCTGAACTGCCCGGATCTGACTTTGATATTTTAACATGTTCTCCAAGGGCCTTTGGGTCTGCATCCGGGGTTGTCTTGGTGACTTTTCGAAACTACCTCATTGGACCAAGCGTCAAACAGTCTCAATATGGCAGCAGAAAGCCACCAGCGTGTTGGTTGGTCTGCCATTGTAATAAGCACCTTGCAAGAAGTTGGCTCCCCAGAAATGACCTTCTCTCCAACGTGTGTGTGTGTGTGTGTGTGTCACATTTTGTCATGTTCCTAGGGGCAGAAAACAATAATAAATTGTACTTATCGGTTCGGCTGAGATACCCCGCGCTCTTCAACCTCTTGGCGGATCCCTCCGAGAGGTTTGACCTCAGCCCTGATGAGCCGGACGGGTTTGAATTCGAAGAAGTGATGATTCAAATAGTGTAAAAATCCAAAAAGTAGCGGGGGGTTGGGGGCCCCCCCATGATGTTCGAAGAAGTGACGATTCAAATATAATGTAAAAACAAAAGTAGCAGGGGGGGTTGGGGGGGGGCTGCCGCCCCCTCCCATGACTTTCGCAGAAGTATTGATCCAAATAGTGTAAAAAATCTAAAAAGTAGCGGGGGGGTTGGGGGCGGCAGCCCCCCCCATGATGTTCGAAGAAGTGACGATTCAAATGATGTAAAACAAATCTCCCCCCTGGATTCTTTAGGAGAAATTCGCCTGTGGCAGTGGTTTCTTCAAACCGAACGCAACATACTTGTATTTGTGTTGGTGCGTATTTGTGTTTGTGCGTGTCACTCTGTGTGTTTGTGTGTGCGTGTTTGTGTTTTTGAGGCTACCTTTTCGGGGGTTCACGCACCGGAAGCCAAAGGGACAAGCTCAACAGACCCACATGACACTGACGTTAATGAGGACCCCCCTCAAAAATGATTGGACATACGGTAACTCGCCACGCAAAGGTCCACCGAAAGGTCCCCCACACAAACACAACCACAAGTAGTTCTTGGCCGCTTCCTTTAGACCTCTGGCATGGTGAGGCTGAAAGCCTCGTGCGCCGCTTACACCCAAGAGACTCTGGAATCACAGTGCTTCTTGGGAGTGTCTACGGTGGATATCATTAACATCGGGATTTGTGTCCACCAACCATTGAAGGTCACAGCCATTAGCTGCCTCAGTTTGGATGGAGCTGCAAGGGGAAGACACGAGTAGGACCGCTTTTGTTGGGGGGGGGGTGGGGGAGTGGGGGAGCGGGGGGATATACACGCGCTTCTGGCAAAATTGTTAGCCCAAAGGCAGCATGCCCCCTCTGAGTGTTCCAGCTGTACCCGGAAAGTGGGGGTTCCGGTTAGGTTTCCCTCCAAAACACCCAAGGATGTTTGTTTGTTTTCATTTGCTTAAGAATACTTTGTATTTTCCCGTCTTGGATATAAACGGATACTCGAATTTTTGCTTTTGTGTTTTTTTTCAGGGGGCTGAAGCCAATCGAAGTTTGTGGACTTCCCCAAACCAAAGGGAACGACCCACGCCGTCAGGAGGTCGCCTTCGCGCTGCGGAAGCGCTTGCTGCACTACACTCGCCACGCAGCGCCAAACCTGGAGAGGAATACCTCCTGCGGCCGCTTGCAGCTGCGCGCCGTGGCCGGCGGATGTTGCCGCACACATTTGTGTTGGTTTTGTTGTCACGGTGCCTTTTTTTCTTTGGCATGCTTTTTTTGAGTATGTTTCTTTCTTTGTTTGCTTGCTTGTTTGTTTGGCCTTGTTTGTTTGTTTGTTTGTTTGTTTATTTCTTTGTTTGTTTGTTTCTTTGGTTGGTTGGTTGGTTGTCCGGTTTGTCGTGTTTGTCTTATTCGTGCTGTTTGTCTTGCTTTTCTTTGTTTGTTTGTCTTTTTGTTTTCTTGATCGGTTGGTTGATAAATGTGTTTGATTTTGATTTGGTTTTGTTTTGATGATTTGATTTGACGGATTGGATTGGATTAGATATGATTGGATTGGGGGTTGGACTGGAATGGACTGGACTGGACGGGGCGGGACGGGACGGACCCAGGGATGGATGGATTTTTTGATTGATTGGTGTTGGTTGCTTGCTTGCTTGCTTGGTTGGTTTTGTTTGTTGATCTTTTTTTCTTCGAAGGACACGTGTTGAGGCGAATTTATTTTGCGTGTGTGGTTCTCAACAAGCAAGTGTGAGACCACTGACAACCGCTCAAGGCCTTGCCGTTCCGTCAAGTGTCAACAGTAGTCCCCTAGTTTGGTGTTTTGTATTGGTGGTTTGGAGAAGTTGAACTCTCGATTCCTCTTGGCTCCTTTGATGGAGAGTTCTTTCCTCCTGAAATGCGTCGTGAAGAAGCCCATGTAGGGGAAACCGGAGGAGGAGTACTTCTTTCAGCTGTTTTCAGTTGTAGGGCACAACGTAGTTGGATCCAACAGCCTTTCCTTTTTTTTTAACTTGAAGGAGCGTTCGGGCGCAAGTATTCTGGTCCATGACTCCAAACGTTCGGTGCAGTTTCTCTTTTTCAACGACAACCTGCTCAAGCTGGACCTTTTGGACTCGCGCGAAATGTGATTGACGTCTAGTCAAGGGCTTGCGACTGCCCCTGCGATTCCTGATTGAAGCAGGGGCAGTCCGGATGGCTGTGTGCAAGATGGGTCGTGCCACCTTTTCAGCCCTTTAGATCAGTCCACAGAACGGGTTTCGGGCTGCTGCTTGTTTGGGTCTCTGGGCACTGCACTTGGTTGCTCTTGAAGGGTGACCGAAATACATCTTTTGGAATCTGACGGTTCACCAACCAGGCAACCAGCAAGAAGTGGGTTTTTGCAGGGGTGTAGTTTGAACCCACCACCCGAAAGAGGTTGTGCCGTCGTATCTTGTCTGTATGTGGACGTGTGTCCTTTTGAGGGCCGTTCTTGGTTGGATTTGCAGAAAATCCAACAGGCAACCAACAGGAAGCCAACGCTACACCGAAAGGCCACCAACAGAAAGCAGGAAACCACCAGCAACCAACTGTTTGGGGCCTCATTTTGAGACACGCCCATTTTGCGCGAGGTAGATCGCCCAATGGTCTTTGGCTGGGCCCCTGGTGCACCTGAGCGCCAGCTCATTAGCCGCGGTGCCAAAGAGTCGCCACCGCGCGAGAGGAACATGGCCGCCTGCAGAGCCCTTGCTTTGTTTGCTTGAGTTGTTTTTTGTAGTTCGTCTGCGTTGTTTGTTTGCTTGCTTGTTTGTTTATTTGTTCGTTCGTTTGCTTGTCTTTTGTCGGTTTTTGCTTGATTGTGTTTGGTTTGTTTTGTTGTTTGTTTGTTTGCTTGCTTGTTTTTTGTTCGTTTAGTTGTTTGCTTGTTTGTTTGTTTGTTTGTTTGCTCGCTTGTATGTTTGTTTGAAGTGTTGCTTTGCTTTGCTTTGTTTGTTTGGTTTGTTTCTTTGTTTTGCTTTTTTGTTGCATTGTTTAACTTTTGATTGTTTGCTTGTTTGTGGTGCTGTTGCTCTTGCTGTTGCTCTTGCTTTTTTTTGCTGTTGCTGTTGCTCTTGTTGTTGCTGTTGTTGCTGTTGTTGCTGTTGTTGCTGTTGTTGCTGTTGTTGATGGTGTTGCTGTCGTTGCTTATGCAGTTCCTCTTGTTGTGGCTGTCGCTGTCGCTGTCGGCTGTCGTTGTCATTGCTGTCGTTGTAAATGGCGTTGTCGGCGTCGTCCTTCTCGTCGTCGTCGTCGCTGCTGCTGCTGCTGCTGCTGCTGATGCTGTTGTGGTTGTGGTTGTGGTTGTGGTTGTTGTTGTTGTTGTTGTTGTTGTTGTTGTTGTTGTTGTTGTTGTTGTTGTTGTTGTTGTTGTTGTTGTTGTTGTTGTTGTTGTTGTTGTTGTTGTGGTTGTGGTTGTGGTTGTGGTTGTGGTTGTGGTTGTGGTTTTGATTGTGGTTGTGGTTGTTGTTGTTGTTGTTGTTGTTGTTGTTGTTGTTGTTGTTGTTGTTGTTGTTGTTGTTGTTGTTGTTGTTGTTGTTGTTGTTGTTGTTGTTGTTGTTGTTGTGGTCGTCGTCGTCGTCGTCGTCGTCGTCGTCGTCGTCGTCGTTGTTGTTGGTGGTGGTGGTGGTGGTGGTGGTGGCGGCGGTGGTCTTGTTGGTGTTGTTGGTGTTCTTGGCGTTGTTGGCATTGTTGGCGTTTGCTGGTGGTCTTGTGGTCGTCGTTGTCGGGTCCAAAAGCATCTCTCGTTCTTAGAGACACAGAGGGTTGTAAGGCTATTGCCTTTTGCAACCAGCTAGTAGGCAAAATGAAGGCCCCCTAAGTCGTAGACTTGTGTTACGCTTCTCCAACGAAAGAGGTGGTAACAGGACAAGCATCTGGCAGCATTCAGTGCCCGATGTTCCTCTTTTGGGTAGTTTGACCAAAGTCTCCTTGTCTTGCTGGTTTTCAGGAGGGAATGCGGGCCCCACAAATCGCCGCAGCCACAGGCCTTTGAAGGCCGCCACGCGCTTCGTGCATAAGTCGGCGCCCATCTCGCCGCTGCTGCAGGCGGGGCGCGGCGTTTTTTTTCCTTTTTTTCCCCTCCTTTTTTTTTCCCGAGTGAACTCGGGCTGGAACCGAAGTTCCAAGCCGCCTGCCGGGCGGATGTGTTTTTTCTTCTTTTTTTCTTTTAACGAAACCCACTTTAGTTGGCGAGGTCCGATTGTTTTTGCCGAAGCTGTTGTTTCACTTCAGTTGGGACGGTCTGTTGGGGACAGCACCCCTGATTTCAGGAGTTGGTCTGAAAAAAACCTGCAAGAGGCTGTGGTGCCCGTGTGTTCGGGAAACTGGAACGCCGTGGGAGGGCAGACTTTTCCATGCAACGGTTTTTGAAGTGTTGCGTGGCATTTTTTTGGGTCTCTGTGTGTAGGTTAGGTATTAATACTTGTGCACATATTCCTTGGTGTGAAACCATGATCAATTGAACGCTCCACTCATGCTGAGCAATAATAGTGAATCTGCTTAAACTTCCAACTGTGCCCACGTTTGTCAAACACCTTGCAGGCTGATATTGAGTGTGAAATCAACGATCAAACGTTGGCGGTAGCACGGGAAGGCCAGAATACACCAATGCCATTTTAAGATTGCATCTCAGCAGCCGAACAGGAACTCATCTGAATGATGTTCAGTTTAACATAGTCTTAGACCTAGTTGCAGCAAAACAAACGACACAAGCAGCGCTGCGTCGCATTGAATTTCGATCTTCACCAACATGGTTCAGCAAGACTGAACAAAGCACGATATGTTATGAAGTTCACGCAGCCTCGCAGAAGGAGCACAAAGGAGCAGCTGTCAGTCAATCAAATTCAGAGCCTCAGGAATAACAGGCGACGCGAAGTGAACTGGACGCGGCATTGGCACTCATTTGCTAAAATTCAGTATGACTTGCAATTGCAGTTCATCACACATGATATTGCAGGTGAATCTTACCAGAAGGTCCAGCTTCACTGAAGCAAATTAGAGCTTCTGCTTGAACCATATCTCATCAATAGGTAACGTAGCATTCAACAGCGTTGAGTTTCAGTCGAGGCCAAACCAGAGCCAAACAGCACACGTGAAGCAACATGGTTTCAGTTTTAGCCATCCCAACAGAATGGTTCAGCAAAAACTCGGCTCGAGTACTGAGCATCCTTCACAACGTTCACACCTTAACCAATTTTTGGGACTTCCCGAGGTCTGAGTTTGACCACTTCACACATGTGCAGAGGTCCCAACAAAGCAGCCTGCAGAGGTGTGATTGTTTGGTAGAAGTTGAGGTTTCTGAAGGTTGACTCCTCTGAGCAGACCAGAAGTCTGCACAGTTGCCATTTCTCAATCCTTAGAGGCCTTCAGCCCTGAGTCCTGCAATGATCGCTTGGCGCGGGTTTGTCACTTGACTCGCTCTAGGGTCTGCGGAGCCCAAAGAACTGTTGCAGGTGAGCACCTGAAATCATTTGCAGAGATTCGCACTTGCTTGGCATATGTTTTCTGCACCTTTGCGGCACCATCTCCTGCCCAGCGGCAGGTTCTGGCGCCGCTCATCCGGGGCTTCCAAGAGCCTCTGGGGGAGGCCGGCCGAACCGGGGTCGCAGAGGTTGGGTCAAGGAGGTGACGTGGAGCTGGCCACAGGGGTGTTGCCCTTTTCCGGAAGGAACATATCTAATCTTAGCGGATCTTATTTTGCCTGATGTTCATCTGTTTTGGAATCTAGTCCCATCCTTTCCAAATCCTAGCGTATCCTAATCCCATCCCATCCCGATCCCATCCTATCTATGTATACACGTATGCAGGTTTCTAATATTCCGAACCATGTTTTCCAACCGCTCTGCGTTTGCAGCTTTGTGTGCAATTCCATTGGACCAGTTGAGTGGTCCCCTTCGAAACAAAGAGAACACAGAAAACGGCTGTGCCCAAGAGAAGGCCCCCAGTCTGACAGCTAAACCATCCAGCTGCACCGCCTCCACAGGTCCAGAAGAAGCTGTTGATGGACACGCTTCTTCCCTTGCCCTGCGCTCGGAACCTGCGTCCCTTGTGTTTCTCCGTTTCACAAGCTCCTTACAGGGCGGTTGGGCGCTTTTGCCATTCTTCCCTTTGTGGGTGGGTTGAACATCACCTGCTGGCAAGGCAAACTCCAGCAAGTGTTTTCTCTGGCAGAGCGATGTTTGTCTATTTTTCCAAAGGGCGTACAAGCAACCCTAGATCCCAGTGGTGCCCTTTTTCCTTTTTTTGGGAAGGGATTTCCCTTTAAAGTCAACCAAACAGAAACGGATGCAATTTTTTGCCATGGCCAAATGGGCATCTGAGTGAAAGCCGAGGCTCTGCCAGTGAATCCTTCCGCCCAGAGCCTCGCCCAAAGGCACAAGCCCAACGAGTGGCTCCTCTGGGACCGGCAGACGCCTCTGATCTCGCTGTACCACAAGGACGCTTTCAACATGACGCTCTCAAAATGGATGGTTTCCTTTTGGTCCCTTTACAACCAAAAGGGGGTGAGATTTTGTTTGGGCTGGGCAGAGGGATATGTTTGGACATCTTGCATGAGGTCTGGGCAACCCAGGGCCAAGCCACCGGTGCGAAGGAAAATGTCACGGCCGACAGGCGATGAATGCACCTTTTCGGAATGGCAAGGGAGAATGTCTCGAAGCGAGTTGGGAGCCTTCTGAGTCGGTCGGGCTCAGCCCCCTCCCCCTGACTCCCGAACGTCTATTTAAAAAAAATAACAATCATTGCAAGGCGTGACTTCGGTTTTATGTGGTGCAAGGGGGAGGGTTGGACATTGGAGGTGCAAGCAAAATTGGCCAGGAGCTTACGCACTGCGTGTGGAGCCCTCGGGAACTTCAACTTGTGAGTGGTGTCACAAACCTCTCTCAAGTTCCCTCGAACTTTAAGCTAGGGAAGACCAGCCAAACCTTGGGCTGCGTTTGGAGAATCGCAGTGCTTACTGCTTGGGCTTCTCAGGGAAGTGAGAGCCCAACCCTACAAAGACCGCCTTGAAGACGGCAGCAGCGGTTGTTTTTGTTTTTACCCCGAAAGGTAAGCGCTGAGTTCTGGCTTGTCCTGGACCTCCTTTTAAGGGTCCCGACTCCTTGGTCCCGTGAAGCAGTTGTCGGCCTCAATGAGGCTCCCGATGGGGTCAAACAAATTATTTGGTGGAGCACCCATGCCACCTATGTCCTGCAAAACCTAGGGGCATGTGGGCACTTGGCTGCAGGGTCGGGTGCAAAGTGGTTGACTTTACAATCAAAGCTTGGCCTTTGAAACGAACCAGCAGGCAGTTTGAACAGTCTTGCATTCCACTGGGTTTCAAGTCGCTTTTTTCATGACCGGGCGCAATCCCTTAGGTTCCGCGGGCCACGGAAACTCATCCGTGGCTTCTCGAATCCACGATTCTCTGCGTTACCAAGTGGATGCTTTTAGGTTTATAAAGCAAGGGCGATGTTTACGTTTGCGTGTCTCTATTTCTATCACTGTGCCCCGAGTCAGAAAGTTCTATTTGCTCATTCGATAGAACGTGGGGCTAAACCACCACACGCTTCAATCAACCTTGGGTTTCCCTTCAGAGCGTGTCCATGGCATGGTTGGTGTCCATGATCCATTGGGCTCCACATGAGGAATTTCCTCGGTCATTTTGGGAAGGCCGCTTTAGTTTTGCGTTTTTTGTTGGGCTGATGTCT